GTCAGTGGGGCGTGGTTGATCGCGATGATATGATTGCTGCCGCTCGATCGGTGATTGCAAGGCGTCTAGTAGATGCAGAGAAAGTTTGCATCATGGGAAGTTCAGCTGGAGGGTCAGTAAATCTTGACATTGGAAAAAAAACATACGAAATCTTTGTTTTCTTGATTATTGATAATGTATTTATCGATTTCCTGTGTCTAGGTATCTCGTTCTGTCCGCTTTGTTACATTCTGATGTATTCAAAGCTGCCGTATCTATCTATGGTGTGGGCGATCTTGTTGGACTCGCTAAGGTAACTTGCTTCAGCTTTGCGCTAACCATGTACGGACGTTTGATCTGTTTCGATGTAGATCAGCCTAGTCTATCCCTGCACTATAGCACGTATTGCTCGAAAGCAGACGTTCGCGACACGCATCTGCCTACTTTTTTCTAGGACACCCACAAATTCGAGCGTGGCTATAACGAGGTGCTTATAGGAAAGTATCCAGAGGACGAACAACTTTACAAGGTTAGTCGTTAATGAATGACGAACGATTGATTCTGAAGGGTATCATAATTGGTGCCCAAAAAATTGAGATTTTTTTTCGAAAATTGCATAGTTACTTTGCACTGCTGCGGTCTAATGAAGTATTAAGTTAATCACTCAGAAAAGCTAGTTCTATTGCAATTTTGCCGAACGGCAACCAATGGATAATGATAGTGAAAGTATGTAAACTTTGATTATTTTATATCCAGGACCGCAGTCCCATCAATCATATTGATCGATTACGAACACCTATCGCGTTCTTACATGGAAAAGAGGATACGGTAGTTCCTGTAAGTCAAAGCGTCGAGATGTATGATAAACTACGACAGAAAGGTGTCACCACGGCATTGATGCTATTTGATGGTAAGTATCGATTTCAGTAATCATAAACGATGTGATTTCCTTTGCGGCTGTTACCTAGATGAGGGGCACGGTTTTCGCGGTGCAGATGCAGTACGACGGAGCACGGAGGCATCGTACGTTTTCCTATGCAAAGTGCTTGGCATACAACCGTCAATCTCATCAGATGT